GGGGGGGGGCGACCAGCGCCCCAAGATGGCAGTAGCGCTCTCTCGGGGATGGGAAGGCTGACACTTAAGCCTGTGGTCTTCGGCCGCCGCTGTTGCAAGCTTTTTATCGATTTTATGCTAAGTAGCATGGTCTCCAAAGACGCCACTGCTCGTTGTGGTCGCATGCAGTATCAGCATTCATGACTGAAATCTCAGCGGCTGTTGTCAGAACCTCCATTTGTCTCCGTGTTTGGTCTTGTGCGCTTCCCGCCAGATACTCTAATGAGCGCGGAGCTAGGATTTAGGACTGGTATTTCATCAGCGCTACCGAGTCTTGCACTATCCAGCGAACTTGCTTTTGCATATCGAACTTTCTTTTCCTTCCTTATCTGGCTAACTGAGAATGTGACGATGAAGTTAGCTGCTTTGAGTTCCACACGATCGCTTGACTTTGCATCCAAGTTAGGGCTACAGACGGGGGCACGCCGGAAAGAGTAATGTACTTGTGGAATCGGTAGTCGTTGTAATTGACTGGCTGTCTGGGCTTGTAATTCCATGCTTACCTCAATAGGGACCCAGTTGCTATCCGCAAACGCATCACTTCACTTCCATCGCAGAATCGAACCCAATCTTTGCGATGACATTTTAGATCGGATTTTTGAGTGTCTTTTGTTGTCTGTTCATTTATCATGTTCAAATCCTTTGTAAAAATTATGTTTTTACCACTGTACCTAGAGGACTTCTTCTCCTGTCGTGTTGTCACTTCTCGTCGTTTGGCCAACTCCGTATATCGTCATTTGCGTCTCCTCTACCCCGCCAACGAGGTCCGAGTCGGCGTTCCTCTCCTGCATCACGTTTTCCTGAGGTTCACGGATGCTAGTGGTGAGTATTTTTTGGCTGAGCGGCTTTGTTTTCTTGTATTTATCCTGGTGTATGGCCCTTTAGGTTCCTTTCTTTTCGTGATGTGTTTATATCATAAAGGTCTTTTGAGGCCCACGTTTTATAAAACATCATTCCTTGCTAGATTGTTTGCCTTACCCCGGGCTTTGATAGAGGATAACAGTCGCTAAAAGTCAAGCTATTATCAGTTAAAGCGGTTGGTCAATTCGAATTTCCGTCAAATTACCGTGAATGCCTATTACTCATTAAACGTCTTTGCGCGCATACAC